GCTTAACACAATAAGTGTTTAGCCTCTGGTTCCAACTGTAATTGATAGAGTACAGTTCCATTCCCTCTGCTGCTGCTAAGTTGGGAATTGCAGCCACAGCAACTGACAGCTTTTTTTTCTCCGCGAGTCTGGAGTTGCTCTCTGGGAGTGATGTCCTCATCGGGATGGGAAGGGAAATGACGGCAGAAAAGCTCACCCTGGCCCTGTGCTACCGAGGGACTCCGGGGACCTCTGCTAGGGGAGACAGCTCCTTGAGGTGGGTGATGAAAATGAGAGCAAAAATCAGGAGGAGAAGGCTCCGGGAGGAAATTTCCAAAATGCTGCCGATTTGGAGAAAATGGGCTTCTCAGAGAGCACGGAGGAGGGAGAGCAGTTATGCACTAGGATTTCTGACAATGGACACGCTTTCAAAAGTGCTGTAAAATTGTGTCATTTGCTGATGGAAATGTCTTTTGTTTCCCAGTCCCGGGGGCTGAACCTGGGTGCGCCCCGCTCTTCAGAGAGTGGGGAGATACTGGGCTAGGATAAATGAGAGGAAAATTGAAATAGGGAAATAGGCACTAAAATGAACGTGATTTCAAATTGTCCCGTTCAGGCCTGAGTTCTGACACGGGAAAAAAATTTCCAAGCAGCTTTGGGCTTAGGAGCCGACTGCAGAATTTAACGCAGATGGCGACTAATTTTGGTGCCTCTTTAGTTGCAAAAGTACCTATTTTTGAAGATATTTAATTAACCAGGATTTAAAGGCTCCTCTTGTTTGTGAGCACCTTGGCCTTTTTGTCATCTGTCAGCATTGTGATGTGCACTGTAAGTGAAGGGTTCTGAGGCATGAACTGTTTAGGTGGTTTTGATGTGCAGTTGCTTTTCTGGAGGATGTTGAAACAAAACAGTGCTGCCATTTCTACAGTTTTATTCAGCACTGCTTCCTTGGAATCTGCTGCCACTGCCCCTGTTATAAAGGATACAAACGATCCTGGAACAGCCACAGTGCTCCTGGATACATTTATAGAGATATCTGGATGCCTTTCACCATAGAAATACAGGGAGCAAGCCTTGCTGGTTATTTACTCTGCTCTCTGCACAAGCAGAATTTCACATTCTAAATACAATCCTGGTTTAAATAACCTTTCCTACTAAGGTGCAAGCTGCAGCTTTAAAGAACTCCCTGCTCACCATCTTCTGCTTGCTGCTCTATGAGGACTCTTCCAAAAACAAACCCGTGTTATTCTACAGCTCCAATAAACAGAATAAATGTCCCTGAGACCTGCTTCTGCTGTACTTCTCCCCAGCTCTGGTTGTTAGCTAGTCTGTCGGGGCTGAGAGAGAAGGAAAAGAAGAAATATAAAATTTCACCCGCAAAGGGCGTTAAGTCCAGATTCCTCTTTGCAGGCTTTAGAAAAGCAAACTACCAATTCATGATCACAAAATAAAATATGCACATTTAAACAAGCTGCAGGGGAAAGGAGAGTTTAATCCAGTGAAATTGTGTTTGAAAGCTATTTCATACCCCTAGGAATAAAATCTGAATAGCAATTCTGCTTTGCTTCCACCCTTTTTCCACCCTCCTGTTAATATATTACCATTTGTTATGGAATCGTTACGAGACTTTTGCCCCAGACGTGGCTGCATTTTGCTGAAGGATGAAGGAGTTTGTGGGCCTGAGCCTCGTCCTGCTCACAGGAGCAGCCAGGACTCAGTGATGCTTCAGGGGAGCGATGTTTGATTCGCACCTGAGCGGGGAAGAATTGGCCCCGTTTGTAAAGCCTTGGGGTGAGAGCCCCAACACACACGGGCTGCTTATTGCAGACACAGGTCCCATCCTAAAGCTGCCTCTGATGGAAAGAGCTGCAACTCTCTGCCTCAAGAACTATCGACTTGGCAAATGACGCTCTCAAAAAGCAGGGATGATTCAGAAAAGATTCGGCCCTGCAAAGATCAAAATGCGTTTGACATCGTTTCGGTGTTGATGTGAAATAAAGTGGCTCTAAAAGTGTAACCGGAGAGCAGAAATCCCCATCATCACACATAAATAGTGCCCCATTTATCCAATTACACTCCCTTGTTTCATTACAATGCTCTGGAATATATTTCTTAGGAATACAAGGCTTAAAATTAATAATAGAAAAGGACAAAATTGCCACGTATATTTCTCTAGATAGATTTTCATCTAACAGCAGGACCTCACTTCTGATTCACTCGCTGGTTCTCTCTAACCTTTACATTATTCATTAATCAAACTCGAAACCTGCTTTCAAAGTCAGTGCATGGCAGTAATTATTTACAGTTGTGCATAGTATTTAATTTTAAGCAATGACAAAAGCAGACATGTCCAGAATCATAAGGCTTATCATTTTTCTTCCCTCGGAGGTGAACTATCTGAAGAAACTAAAAGTTGCAAACTTCTCTTCAATATCTCTGCTGCCATCAAGACAAAATGCAGTGCAACTGATACCTTTGAACTTGTACAACTAAAAATAAATAAAAGTGAAAATTAAGTAATATATAATGTATTAACTCCTTTAAATAAAAGGACTAAGGAGCTTTGCTATCAGCCTTGATGAGAGATACATTTCTTATTGCACAGTCTGTCTCCTGTCACTTTGAGGTATTTTTCACCATACAAAACAGAACCTCAGTATTATCCCTGAAAATGAAAGTCAGTTTTAAGAACTATATACAACAGGCACGTCTGCTCTTTGAAACTCCCCCCTACCCCCCACAAACAGACAAATACAACTTCAAAGCAGGAGAACTACTGCAAATGTATAAACCTACTTCAAATAGTTCTGCTGGCTGAAACTGGACTGCATTTGCAGGATTTTGCTCACCTGAAACAACATTGATCTGAGGAGAAATCTAATCAAAGAAATGCACCACTGAAGAGCAATGCACGTTTTATAATGAGAATGAGAAAGGAGAGATCTAATTGTGGTCGTACGAGTTTCTCCCTTGTCACTAAGATCTTAAAAATGCTGTAGGATCCTGGATAAAAACATCTCTTACTGTATCTCAGCAGGGAAATCCCGGGAAACAACAGCACGGGCTCTGCTCGCAAAAATTTACTTACTGTATCCTATGCTTCTAAAAAGGAACACCGTGCCCCTGCCATGAAAAGATACTACACAGATTCCAAGTGAAAATTCTACTTTGAAACCCAAATAAAATGAAGCCTCCTGTTCCTGACAGAGAGAAAAAAGGAGCAGCTCTAGCACTGTCATTGTGCCGATCAGCATCCATGAAAAAGCAGCTATTTATTTATCCTGCAAGTTGAAAATGTGAATGCCTTATCCAGATCAAACCTCTTGGTGAAGAAAATAATAATAGCGACTCTGACAGCAGAGGCCTCCCGAATACATATATATATATATTTATTTATTTATATAAACGTGTATTTCTAGCAGAGCTGTTATTTATGGCGATGACGGTAAATTTGGGATCTCTGCCTGCCAGGAATCCCAACCTGCATAGGTACATTCACTGGGCACGTCCCAAAAGCTCCTGCCTGCAGCCCATTGTCCTGCACCCAAGGAAATGCAGCCAGAGCTGAGAGTTGATAAAAGTTCTGCGTGTCCCAGTTTCTCTGGGGTGACATTTCCCCTGCGTGGATCCCAAGCACTACTTCACAAAGTTTATCCAAGTGTGCCACTAAACTTGCCCATACGTTTTGTCCCACATTTGCTGTGCTACACCCAGGAAATACTCACAAGGGCGAGGGAAAATTTTTGAACTAAAGACATCAAATATGAGTTTTCTTTAAAGAACTAATCCCAGGAAGGACACAAAGGGAAAAAAGAAGGGAAAAAACCCGCCTACATTAAAAGCCAAACAAGATAATAATTGTGCATGTCTGGCTAAGAGAATCTAGAGGGCAAGCCTTACGTCATTGGCACTTGGGTTACCATGGTGAGTGATTTATTGATATATATCAAGAATGAATAGATCAAAGGCAGCAAGATGACAGGTGATCAATCAAATGTCAAATCAAAGCTGGCAATCAACTGGAAAGCTGATTTTTCAGTGGGTGGGTCTGGCAGAAGAAAAATGAACTTCCATATTGCGCTTCCCAGAAACAAAACCCTACCACACTATTAAAAAAAAAATAAAAAGCAATTAAGGAGCCTGAAAGAAAACTCTTTGAAAAGATTTACTATACAGACCCACTCGTCTGTTTCTTTTTCTTGGCCCCCAAAAGAAAAAGAACACCCTACAATGACAAAGAAAACACTTCCAAAGTTGCAAACTATTTTCTTCTGTTAAAAAAAAATAATAAATTGCAAAACCACTTGGCATGTGCAAATATATAAACTCGGCTACGAAACAAAAGAAGGATTTGATTTGAAAATGTGGATTGTCTTCTAACAGTCAGAACGTTTCATTTTATTTCCTGTTGCAATTTTCACCACTGATGATCAAAGGCTGAACTTCCCCACCGGGTTCATCAGCAGAGAGAGTCCCTGTACTATTTCAGGCACACACAGCGCTCTCTCACACACACACCCGGCCAGAACTGCCATCAGAAATACGGCGAAATAAAAGATTAAACACCCCGACCCACTTCGCGAAACACACGGATCCAAAGCGAAAGCCACCGGGAGGGGGGAAAACCAGAAAGGAGGGAGGGAAAAAAAAAAAATCTATCCTAAAGCGAAAAGCGAAGGGAAGCCCGGCTGCTTTCGGCTCGGGCAGGGGAAGGGGCAGGGGGAGAAGGGGCCGGGGGAAGAAAGTTGGGGGGAAAGTTTGGTGCGGGCAGCGGAGCGGGAGCGGCGGCGAGCCGGGGGCAGCGGCGGAGGGCGAGCGGACAGCCCGGGCGCAGCAAAACCCGGCAATAAGCGATGAAACTGGCTCCTCGGACTCACGGAGGGAAAGGGAGGGGGAGGGGGATAAATAAATAAAGATCCAGCCCGGAAAAGCAAGGGTGACCCTAAATAATAATAAAGATGGGGGTAGGAGTGGAAGGAGTGGAGAGACAGAGGCTGTGTAAGTGGATGGCTTCTCCTTACCTGCAGCCCGTTTGGGTGCTTGCTGTTTCCTCCTTGGCATCGCTCTACTTTCTCCAATCTCACTTCTGTCCCCAGATCCGAGAGCCCTGAGTCGCTCCTGAGCCGTGTTCCTCTGCCTCTCAGCTGCTTCCCCAGCACCCCCCTCAAGCCTCCCCTGCCCCCCTCCTTTCCACTTCACTGATAGGAACCTGTTTGGTTTTTATTTTATTTTAGAGATCTAGGTTTCTTTCTTTCTCTTTCTCTCTCTCTCTCTCTCTCTCTCCTTTTTTTTTTTTTTTTTTTTTTTTTGGTTGGCTTTTTTTTTTTTTTTTTAACTGTTGCAACACTTGCTTTGCTTTGATTCAAACATCCAAGCTCAGGAGCAAATGAAAGGCGCCCACAGTGCCAGAAAACGGTAATAAATAAATAACAAAATAGATCTGTATATATTAAAAAGGCAGCTCTGGAGAGACTGTGGGGCTGGCTGCTTCCTCCCTTCCCTGTCCTGTCCTCCTCCTCCTCGCAGAGCCGTATGGCGGAGCGGTGCCCGGGTGTGCGCGGTGTGTGTGTGTGTGCGTGCGTGTGTGTGCGCGGAGCGCCGCAGGTTCCGTGCTGTCAGATGCCAGGCAGTGAGTGATATGGGAGCGGACAGGGAGGCTCGGGATGGGAGGAAATGTGGGATCCGCACACACACGCGCGCACACGCACCCCCGGCGCGGGCACACGCGCGCACACGCGCTCACACACACACACACACACACACGCGCGCCCCGCACACACACGCGCGCACACGCACACACAGGCAGGGCGAGGCGATGCCAGCGAACATCGATCCGCCGAGCAAACTGAACATTAACAAACTCCTCCTCCGCGACCCGATGACAGGAGGAAATTTACTCCGCGCAGCCGGGCGGCAGAGCCGTTCATTAAAGAGACAGGGCGCCGGCACCGCGCCCGCCGCCGCCAGCGCCGCCGCCGCCCCGCCGGCCCCGCGGGGACACCGCTCCCCACGCGGGGACACCCCCTCTGCAAACCAGCCCCCCAATGCGGGGACACCGCTCCCCACGCGGGGACACCCCCTCCTCACACCCCCCCCCCCCCCCCACGCGGGGACACCCCCTTTCCAACCCCCCCCAATGCGGGGACACCGCTCCCCACGCGGGGACACCCCCTCTCCAAACCCCCTCCCCGTACGGCACCATCCCCTCCCTATGCGGGACCTTCCCCCGCACACGCGGGACCACCCCACACCCCCACCCCGGGTCACCCCGGCCCCGCAGGATGCGCTCCCCAAGCGAGGGCGCTGCGGGCAGCCGGGCCCGGGGCCCGCTGATCCACCCGAGACAGGGCGGGCCCAGGGGAGAGCAGGGATTTGCAGCAAGGATCCCGCTGGGCGGCCCGGGGCGCTCCTGCCGCGGGGCTGCCCGCGGCTGCCGGGTCACCGGGGCGCCCCTCAGGTGTGCCCGGGGCTGGGGATCGGGGGATGCTCCCCCAGGTGTGCCCGGGGCTGGGGACCGGGGCTGGGGACCGGGGGATGCTCCCCCAGGTGTGCCCGGGGCTGGGGACCGGGGGATGCTCCCCCAGGTGTGCCCGGGGCTGGGGACCGGGGCTGGGGACCGGGGGATGCTCCCCCAGGTGCTCTCTCCCGCCTGTGGATAGCCCAGGGCTGGTGACCAGGTCCCTTCCCTGCCCAGGATGTCACTCTGCACCCTGAGGTGTCCCAGCTGTAGGAAAATGAAGGGATCAGAGGGTTGGACATCGAAGTTTGGTGAAGTTTGGGTGAAACCTCTCTGCTCCCCGAATTCCCCCTGGCACCTGGATTTAGGGACAGTCAGGTCCATCCATCAGCTTTTCCTTCAGCTGCTGTGAACACCTTGAGGGTTTAAATGGGATGGAAAGGATAGATTTGGGATGGAAAGGATAGTCTAATTTCTATGTATTCAACTATAATTTGTATAAGACCTCCTAAAAGTGTTTTTTCTGATACTCCATATCTTAAACCAAGAGGTTGCTGTAGAACTGAGGTTTTACCCTTTTTATTTTTTTTCCGGTTTTGGCATTTGACTCTTTCTAATGAAACTGTTGGGTTTAATAGGAATAATTTGCATACCTCTCAAATATAAATATAAATATAAATATAAATGTAAATATAAATATAATGAATATAAATATATAAAAATATATGTTTAATGTATCTGTTGGTTACAAACAACTAACACAGAGCCACTGTGTTGTAGCTGGTGTCGCTGAGCCATCTGCAAGGACAGGCCTGCAGTCCCCCAGTGACCTTTGTGTCCAGCAGCCCAACACCAGGCTGTGTTTATGAAAGTGTCCCCCTAACTGCTGTCACTGAAATTATTTGATTGCCTTCCCTGTACGAACTCCAGCAATTTTTATATGCAATAACAAAGTATTTATTGGTGCAAGCAAATGCTTCGTTTGAAAGATAAAATAGGAAAACACTACTATAAAATACTCATTTTTCCACTTCTGCCTGGCATAACTCACCCAGGAGCGAACAGCCCTGCTGGAATCAGTGGGAATTGTGGGGATCTTGGATACCTGTGTGCAGCAGGTGTAAAACCCTGCTGGGGCACACCAGGGATTTCCACTTTGTCTCCAGCCCAGGCAGGTGTAAACACAGGGCCAGGAGGGGCCACAGCAGAGGGACAATTATGCCTGCCCTGGATGAGGAGCAATGACACACTACCTGCCTTGGGAAGGGCAGCCTGGACCTGGATCAGGCAGTTCAGCACAGGGTAGCAAACTAAGATTTTCCCTTCATCTTTTGTGTGCCTTGAGTTGAGATTTTGAACCCTTCAGCTTCTGCGTGTTGGCTCCCAAATCAGAAAACTGCAGGTACCTCTGGCTGGTGTTCTGTTTCCTCTCCTCCCTGGGTGCACAGAGAGGTGCAGCACCTCCCATAGATTGTTTATTGTGAAGGATTAAATGCTGTTTAACCCATTGATGCTGCAGTAAGGTTTCTCCCAACTGTGGGACACGGTGTGGGTGCTGGGACACTCGCAGGCACGAGGGGTGGAACATGACAGAGGACAGAGTGCTGTGCTATTTTACCCTCTCCCTGTGCTGCTCCTGTGCGAGCTGCAGAGGCAGGAGCCGTGGGTCAGGCAGGGCAGCAGCTCACAGCTATTGTTCTCCAGAGCCGTGGCTCCAGTCCAAACGTGCGCGCCGGGGACGGGATTTGTGTCGGTGCCGCTCGCAGGCTCCACGTGCGAGATGAGAAAGTCGCCGCTTTAAATGGTTACTCCTTGGGGAAAGGGGAATTGAGAAGATGGACTTGCGAGTGGAGCAGGAGTGAGATGGCACCCTATCCTCGGTGATAAATGGGAGCATTAACAAGGCTTGGTCGAGAGGAACCCTACAGATTTATGGCTTCCTGTCTCCACCAGCAGATGCCATTATGGCTGACAGAACAGAATGCCTTTCAAGAGGGAACTGGGCTGGGATTATGAAGAAGGGGGGAAAAAAAGCAAGCAGAGTCTGGTGTCCATTTTTATCCACTGGTCAGAATCGGCTGATAGGTTTGAATAGAGCTGGAAGTACCCAGCGTGCGTGTGCTCCCTGCTCCTGTTATTTATAACAAAGTTGGTGAAGGTCATTTAGCATCTCTTTTAGCACGGGAAGAACCCATAATATTTACTGAAAGCATTTTTGCACTCTTGAAAATTAGAGATAATAAAATGAACAGATAGCACTGGAGGCTTCCTTGGCTTATCCAATGGAATAATCTCGATGGGTGCATAATGTTTACTTTGGAAATGCAGCAAATGATTCTGAAGCTATATTGAATTTTATCTATTTTTATTACATTGCAGAATAATATTTCTCTTTCCTGACAAAATGTTATGACCAGTAATAGCAATGGCAGTTATGCATGTTCAAAAAAGAGTAATCAAATGTCATGCTTCAGGGCATGAGCTGAATTCCCCACTGGGATCCAGAAGGATTTTTTTCCCCCCAAATATAGCAATATACAATCAAGTAGGTATGTTCTTAGAGGATTTCCAATTTCTTGGTTAGGTGCAGATTACATGGAGCAACAGTGTGACCTGGGATTGTGAAAATCCTCTCTTGCTGCAGTTTGGGCTGGTTTGGGTCTGATTTTTCAGCCTAATATGAGTGAGTTGTTGTGCCTCACAGGAAAGTTTACAGCCACTTGTGTGTGCAATAAAGGGCCAAATGCTCTTTGTGTACCTCTGATAACAGTTCCCATCAGTGCAGTCACAACAAGCTCAGCCCTGTGACTTGCAGTGTTTTATCTTACTTATTTTTGTTGTCCATCTTTCCTTCAGTGACTGTTCTGCTGATAATTAAACGTGGGGATTGTTTTCTTTCCTTCCTTTTTTTTCCCCTCTAGAAGTAATATATATGTAGGTACACAACTCCTCTTGAATGAACTTCACAGTGTTGGTGACCCCTTTCACGCTTTCCCTACCACTGCAGAGAAAGAAAAAGTGGAAATTCTGGTAAGTCCTGCAAACAAAGAAAGATTTGATAAATAAATAATTTTCAGTATTGCCGGTTAATGACATTGTCAGCCTCAGTGTTTACTTCTTTCTTTTTAGAATTATTGGAGGAAAATTATTTTAAAAAGGATTTGGGTTACAACGATTTTGAAAGAATCAACTTGAGGACAGACTGAGGGTTCTTTAGAGAAAATAGAGAACCCTGTAGATCTGTTGCAGTCCCTGCCTAGGAACAGCTTTAACTGTTCTCATTCCATTGAGGCACATTTGACCAACACCATGCAGATTCAACAGCTCCTCTGGGCAACCTCTTCCAGTGGCTTTACCATGGAAAAATTCATCCTACTGCTGGAAAACTGGGGGTTTTTGGGGGCTATCTCAAATAAAATGGAGAACAGTTTCTTCCCTTCCTCTTTGAGGCAGTTTTTAACATCTTTGCAGACATGTGACCCCCATCCCCAAACCATCCCCACTTCTTCAGCCATCCCTTGCACATCACACTCCCTGGCCCTCATTTCCCTGCTCCGTGGCTGGACAACATATGATTTGAGGTGCAGTGCCAAAACCTGACTGCTGGATTGTGTTTTCCACCTCCCCAGCAGCGAGTGGGATTACTTCACATGTCTAACACATGACACTGCTGTTTACAT